GGCAGGCGGAGGGGCAGGTTTCTGGTCGAGAGCCAGACTCGATCTCCAGGTGCGTACACTGGACCCTCACTGCGGTGGAGATCGGCGCTCGTCTTATGTCGACGGATGGCTCGCTGCAGATGGATGTGTGCAGCGTTCCACGTCTCCTCCGAGCGCCGCACCCACTCATCCACCGCAGGGGCCTCGATCTGGCTCTCATGCCAAGGTGCCAGAACCGGCAGGTACCCTAACACACACTGGAAAGGGGTTAGTTTAGTGGAGGAGTGGCGGAGAGAGTTCTGTGCCATCTCGGCCCAGGGAACATATCTCGCCCACTCCTCCGGCCGGCCCTGGCAATACGACCTCTGAAACCTACCCACATCCTGGTTGAGACGTTCGACCTGCCCATTACTCTCCGGGTGGTAACCCGAGGTAAGGCTCACCGAAACCCCCAACCGTTCCATAAACGCTCTCCAGACTCTGGAGGTAAACTGGGGGCCTCGATCAGACACTATATCCTTGGGTACCCCGTAATGCCGGAAGACGTGGGTAAATAGAGCCTCAGCGGTCTGTAGGGCAGTAGGAAGATCCGGCATGGGAAGGAGACGACAGGCCTTCGAGAACCGATCCACAACGACCAGGATGGTGGTATTCCCCTGTGAGGGGGGAAGGTCTGTAACAAAATCCACCGAGAGGTGAGACCAGGGTCGTTGTGGAACGGGCAGGGGTTGTAACTTACCCCTGGGCAAGTGTCTGGGCGCCTTACACTGGGCACACACCGAGCAGGAGGAGACATAAATCCTCACATCCCTGGCTAACGTTGGCCACCAGTACTTTGTGCTAAGGCAGTGCACTGTCCGGGCAAACCTGGATGCCCAGAGGAGGGTGACGTGTGAGCCCAATAAATGAGTCGATCCCGGACCTCGAGCGGGACGTACGTCCGACCCACCGGACACTGTGGAGGGCTAGGGTTGGTGCGTAACGCCCGCTCGATCTCCGTATCGACCTCCCATACCACCGGTGCCACCAGACAAGACTTAGGTAGTATGGGAGTGGGCTCAACGGACCTCTCCTCCGTGTCATACCGCCGAGACAGGGCATCTGCCTTCCCGTTCTGGGACCCAGGGATGTAAGTGATCTTAAACACAAACCGGGCTAGAAACATAGTCCACCGAGCCTGGCGAGGATTTAGTCTCCTAGCTGCCCGAATGTATTCCAGGTTACGGTGGTCAGTCAAAATGAGAAAAGGGTGTTGAGCCCCCTCAAGCCAATGCCTCCACACCTTTAGGGCTTGTACCACGGCTAACAGCTCCCTGTCCCCTACATCATAATTACGCTCCGCCGGACTGAGCTTTTTCGAATAAAAAGCACAGGGGCGGAGTTTAGGTGGTGTGCCGGACCGTTGTGAGAGAACGGCCCCGATACCGGCTTCAGACGCGTCCACCTCCACTTGGAATGGTAAAGTGGGATCCGGGTGCGCCAGCACCGGAGCCGAGGTAAACAGGTCCTTCAGTCTCCCAAAAGCCCTGTCCGCCTCAGCTGACCACCGCACCGGACCCCCCTTCAGAAGGGACGTTATGGGAGCTGCCACCTGTCCAAAACCCCGGATAAACCTCCGGTAGTAATTCGAAAAACCCAAGAACTGCTGCACCTCTTTAACCGTGGTTGGGGTTTGCCAATTACGCACGGCTGACACACGGTCAACCTCCATCTTCACCCCTGACGCAGACAACTGATATCCCAAAAAGGAGACCGACTCCTGGAAGAACAGACATTTCTCTGCCTTGACATACAGGTCGTGCTCCAACAGCCTCCTCAACACTCGGCGCACCAGGGCTACATGCTCGGCTCGGGTAGAACTGTACACCAGAATATCGTCTATGTACACGACTACTCCCTGCCCCTGCATGTCCCGGAAAATCTCATCTACAAAGGATTGGAAGACTGATGGAGCATTCATTAACCCGTATGGCATAACGAGATACTCGTAATGACCGGAGGTAGTACTAAATGCTGTCTTCCATTCATCGCCCTCTCTAATGCGCACCAAGTTATATGCGCTCCTGAGGTCCAATTTTGTGAAGAACCGTGCCCCGTGTAATGACTCCGTCATAGTCGCAATCAGAGGGAGTGGATAACTATATTTCACAGTAATCTGATTGAGACCGCGGTAATCAATACATGGGCGCAAACCTCCATCCTTTTTCTTCACAAAAAAGAAGCTTGAGGACGCGGGTGAAGTGGAGGGCCGTATGTATCCCTGTCTCAGAGACTCTGCAATGTATGTCTCCATCGCCCTCTTCTCCTCTTGTGACAAAGGATACACATGGCTCCGCGGGAGCGCAGCTCCTGCCTGAAGGTCTATCGCACAATCCCCCTGTCTATGAGGCGGCAATCGCGCCACTCTCGTCTTGCTAAACACGAGTGCCAAATCCTCATACTCGGGGGGAATGTGCATTGCGGGCATTTGGTTCGGACTCTCCACCGAGGTCGCCCCTACGGAAACACCCAGACATAGCCCCTCACACTGGGCAGACCACCCCTTAAGAGCCTTCTCTCGCCACAAAATAGTAGGATCATGTGTAATCAACCAGAGAAGCCCCAGCACCACCGGATACGCAGGAGAGTCGATCAGATAGAGCTGAATCGTCTCCTCATGACCCCCCTGCGTCTCCATCCTAAGTGGCACTGTGACCTCCCTAATCAACCCGGATCCTAACGGACGGCTATCTAGGGCATGTACAGGGAAAGGATTATTTACCGGAAGGAGAGGGATCCCTAACTCTACACAGAATTTGCGATCTACAAAATTCCCAGCTGCGCCTGAATCTACTAGCGCCTTATGCTGGGAACGAGGTGCAACCTGTGGAAAACAAACAGGTATGGTTATGTGTACGACAGAAAGCTCTGGGTAAGTGGGGCGCCTACTCACCTGGGAGGACTCCCCAATGTGTGGCCTGCCTTCTCTTCCACCAGGAGACCCTCCCCAGCACCTAGCCGCGGTGTGCCCTCCACGGCCACAGTTGGTGCAGGGGACGGCCCCCCTCGGGCTCCTTCTCCTCCGTTCTCGAGCGCCAGCACCTCCGAGCTCCATAGGGCTCGGCTCGGAGGTGCTGGAGGGTGGAATGGGCGACCCCCACCCGGGACGACCGCGGGTGGCGAGCAGGGTGTCCAGCCGAATGGCCATGTCAACCAATTGGTCAAACGAAAGCGTGGTATCCCTGCACGCCAACTCTCTACGGACGTCCTCCCGGAGGCTGCAGCGGAAGTGATCTATGAGAGCCCGCTCATTCCACCCTGCATCTGCCGCTAGAGTCCGGAACTCCAGTGCAAACTCCTGAGCGCTCCTCATTCCCTGCCGGAGGTAGAATAGACGCTCCCCCGCCGCCTTCCCCTCCGGTGGATGGTCAAACACTGCACGGAAGCGGCGGGAGAACTCCGCAAAGGTGATAGTTGCGGCGTCTATTCTCCTCCATTCGGCGTTGGCCCACTCCAACGCCTTGCCGGTGAGACAGGAGATGAGGGCGGAAACGCTCTCGTGTCCCGAGGGCGCCAGGTGTACGGTGGCGAGGTAGAGTTCAACTTGCAACAGGAACCCCTGACACCCGGCAGCGGTGCCGTCGTACGCCCTCGGGAGCGGGAGCCGAATCCCACTGGGTTCCGGAAGTTGGACAGGCGGGCTGACCGATGGTGATGGTGTGGTAGGTGGGGGTGTGGGTACCCCGCTGGTCTCCCATCGATGGAGGGTGTTCATAACTCTGTCCAGAGCGTGCCCGATTTGGTTAATCCTGTCCTCCTGTCCACGAAGGCGCTCCTCGATGATCTCCGTGGGTGCGGTTGCTCCTGCTGATTCCATTGTAATGGTGTGTAATTATGTCAAGGTTGAGTGTAGTGGTAGCGTAGAATCACACGCAGGACACACAGAGGTTTCGAACAGACGTCTTTAGTGAAGTCCAAAGAACAAGTCAACCACGGCAACAGGCAACAGGCGAACTTTACGCACAATGGTAAAGTACAAAATAAAGGCGCACAAAGTGCGGGACTCTCTCTAACAAAATATACAGAGAGAACAGGACAACGAACTAACACAACACGTGACATCGAACAATTACACACAACACCTGACCAAACTCAAGAGAACTAAATAGGACGCATAATGAACACTAACAAGGAACAGGTGTAACAAAACAGACAAAACCAATCAAACATAGAAACATAGAGCGGTGGCAGCTAGTACTCCGGAGACGACGACCGCCGAAGCCTGCCCGAACAAGGAGAAGGAGCAGCCTCGGCCGAAACTGTGACATCAATAACTAACTTGACAGAGCTTGACGAATTTAAAAAATAATAATGTGCAAATATTGTACAATCCAGGTGTGCAAAGCTCTTAGAGACTTACCCAGAAAGACTCACTGCTGTAATCACTGCCGAAGGTGATTCTAACATGTATTGACTCAGGGGTGTGAATACTTATGTAAATGATACATTTCTGTATTTCATTTTCAATACATTTGCATCAATTTAAAAAAACATATATTTTCACAATGTCATTATGGGTTATTGTGTGTAGATGGGTCAGAAAAAAATATATTTAATAATTTTTGAATTCACGCTGTAACACAACAAAATGTGGAATAAGTCAAGGGGTATGAATACCTTCTGAAGGCACTGTATGTATAGTGTATATATAGGCTACCCATTGGCGGCCCACAATTGGTCCAGTGTTGTCCAAGGTAGGGGAGGGTTTGGCCGGCAGGGATGTGGGTTCGTTTCCCACGGGGGGCAGTATGAAAAAAACACACACAAAAAACATGTATGCATTCACTAACTGTAAGTCGCTTTGGATAAGAGCGTCTGCTAAATGACTCAAATGTAAATGTCTACCGTAAATGATCACCTTTCATGAATTTGATTATATAATCTTTAAGTATAGGCAAAATAAAATCTGAAGGAAGCATACAGAAAAAACTCTACAGTTATGGTTTGTCTCTCTTTTCTATTTCAGGAATATTTGATTCACAATGAGCCATTCAATGGAGTCTGCAACTCAGATCGAAAAGTGGACAAAGGAAGAAGTTCATCAGTGGTTGACGACGCAGGTTAACATTCACAACATATATGCAGACAAGTTGCTAGAAGAGGAGGTATCAGGGGAAGACCTAGAATACTTCCAAAAGAAGGATCTTCTGGATCTGAACATAAAACATGGTCCCGCTGTTAAAATTGTGTCTATGCTTGAGGATTTGAAGAGTGGATTACAGCATAAATCACAATTTCCTGCATACATCAAGAAATGGACACAAGAACAAGTTTGTCAGTGGTTAAGGGAAGAAGTGAAGGTATACCACAAACATGTAGAGCGGCTTTTTGAAGAGGAAGTGTCAGGCGATTGCCTATTTTGCTTCAAAAAGAATGATCTTGTGGAACTAGGCATAAAACATGGTCCTGCTGTTAAAATAATTGGTATGCTAGAAAAGTTAAACAGTGGACCAGAGCCTATATTACAACCCCCCTCACACATCAACGTTGACCAAGGAAATCTCCAAAAACCACCTGAGAAGCAAGTAGAATTATGTCAAGCTCTACCGGTTCTGACTGTATCCCCCATGAAGAGAGAACCAAACACAGAAGAGCCCAAAATAGTGAAACCACCAGGGAAAACGGTTACACGAAAGAAGGAAGAACCAAAACCACAGGTCATGGGTGCAGAAATGTTACCGCCCAAGGTAGGGGTTGTGTAGCATCTCTCTTATTTAATGAGGTGTGCTTCACACACACACACAACATACTGTAAGTGCTTGCTTAGTAAAGTAGGTTATATTTGCAAATTAAACACAACAATACAGATATGTGGCAGCAAACAATTACAATTTTGATTGTGTTCTAGGCCAAAGAAAACACATTTCAAACTAACCCTATTTAATTCCCACAGAGCTCAAGCACACCAAGTTCACTTACATTGCTCCAGAATACCCTCGACGACTTACAGCAGGGCGAGTTTAAACGGTTTAAGTCTTGTCTGAAAGACCTACATCTGAACGGATGTAGACCGATTGCACGGAGTCACTTGGAAGACAGCAAGACCCGCACAGACGTAGCGGACTCGATGACAAAGCACTATGAGGAAGAGGCATTAAATGTCACTCTTCAGATTCTAGAGAGAATCAGACACAATGAACTGGCTGCCCGTCTTAGAAGGGATATGGGTAAGTGAAACAAGATTGCATTCAGTCAAATTAGTCTTTGAATCTCAATCACAGCCAGATAACATTGGACCTGTATTATTACAATATAACTGTTTTTAGGTTCAAAAGTCATAATTATCAGTTTGACACAAAGAAGACCACCAGTAATATTTGTTAGGATCACCAGTAATTGATTTCGTTTTGCAATTATTTCTTCAGGTCTACAAAAGGTGACCGCACAGGACCCCAAAAAGGATTTGAGGAGAGAGACCAATCAGGGTGATACATTGAAGAACTTGTTAACTTGTGGAAGAAATATGATGGACTACTATAATCGATTTGTTGTTGTTGTAAACAAGAGTCTTACTGAGCAACTAGAACATCTTCAGTTTCTGAGCAAGTTGAAATTGTTCTGTGTACTGGACTTTGATCCTAACTCTGCAGCTCCTGGTGGCGTATGCAGTTCATACAGAGAATCAAGAGTGGCAAATCTCCATCTCCCAGCCCAATTCCAAGGTGAAACAAATGTTGTGATAAAGAATCTCAACCTGTATAAGCAGACCAGCTGGGTGTTTTGTAATGGGAGGCATGATCTTGACAATGAATCGGATAGACAGCTGGACTACAAAGACTGGTTAAGGGGAAAACGCAGAGAGATAGAGCATATGGTTTCATTCATTTGTAAACCTGAAGTTCTTCCAGATGGAAAAACTCTTGTTATATTTATTTTGCTCTCACCTGTAACTGATAGAGATCCTGTCTTTGATACTTTCATGGCATTCTACTCGCATGCTGGGGATAGCATTGTGCATATTTGTGAATCTAGGAGCACATTTGAGAAATGGAAAGACTTGATACAGGAGAAATGTGACGTTGACATCACCAGGCAATCAATATCTGAGTTAACGCTAGGTGAAGTCAATGGCACTATAATGTCACTTGGACCACACAATCAGCCACCAGGAAGACTCCTTCCATCTTCTGACTCCAGCACTGTTGTTCTCCAACAAAAGGATGAAGACCGCATGACAGCTCTACACATTTTGTGTCAGAATGAATGTGAAAAAGTCTATGATGAAAATAGCAAAGAGTTTCAAGACTTCAAAATCAAAGTTGAAGAGGAATTCTACAGAGGGGGTAAAGTCAACTGGTGGAACTTCTATTTTTGTGAAAAACCCAAAGCAAAGCCTTTCATTAGAAGAGATAAATATGACAATCTGAAAAAGATTGTGAAATATCAAGATCCCAAAACCACATGTGTTTTGCTGAATTTGTTTCACCACCCAGGTTGCGGAGGAACAACGTTAGCCATGCATGTTATGTGGGATCTACGCAGAGAATTCAGATGTGCTGTGTTGAAGGACAATACATTACCAAAAGCTGAAGTGGCTTTTCAAGTCAAAAACCTAATGAGGCTCGGGAGCCAGAAATCTACACCAGTTCTGCTGTTAGTAGATGACTCAAAGGAAGCAGAGAACACACAAACTCTCCAGAACTGCATTCGCCAAGCTGTTGAAGAGGAAAACACAAGCAGAACTGTAGAAGATTCATCAAACTCAAAAGTCATTATTATGAGTTGTGTTCGTTGCCATAACCCTGAGGACCAGTTCAAACACTGCTCAACAAACAGACAGCAGATCACTGCTAAACTGACAAAAAAGGAACAAGATGATTTTGAGGAAAAACTTGTGGAACTTAAAGAAAGTCATGAAAAACCTGAAAACTTCTACAGTTTTATGATCATGAAGAGTAACTTTGACAAGAAGTACATAGCTGATGTTGTGAGCAACACTCTGAAGGACTTGGACATGAGCACAAAGAAAGCTCAACTCCTTGCCTTCTTAGCACTGTTGAACTCATATGATGCGGAATCAGACATATCTATGTCTCTCTGTGAGGAATTTTTGGGGATGAAAAGTTTGCAAATGGCTTACTGGGGAGAAGATTGTGTACTTGACAGAATGGAGCCTTACTCCAATTTGCTAAAACAATTAAATGTTGAGGATCGTGGAGGATACAAAGCAATTCGAATCCTTCATCATGATATAGCATCTGCATGTCTTGAAGAGTTGGACAGATGCTACAAAATTAAACGGAGTGAAATAACCTTGGACATGCTGCACTGTGATACATTGTTCAAAACCTGTGTAGTAAAAGACACCCTCATGCTAACAATTCAACGTGTGCTAGTTGAAAGGCAGCGCAAAAAAGTGGGAGCGACTCATTTTTCTCCATTGATAGAAAAAATTCACAGTCAAGAGGGAGGACAAAACATCCAAGACATCTTTGTGAAAGCATCTTCCCGGTTTGTTACAAGGGCATCTATTCCTCAAGCTCTTGCAAGATATCTCTACCTCTATGAGCAAGATTTTCCCCAAGCACTCATTTGGGCAGAAAATGCCATGAGAGTGAAAGAAAACTCATACACAGCTGATACAGTTGGACAGGTTTACAAAAGTAATCTTAAACATAATATTCAGAGTGAAAAACTAAATACTCCACTCAAGCCAAAGGACTTTGAGACTAACCTAAATATAGCACAAAAAGCCTCAAAGGCCTTTCAAATGGCTCAAAAGCTGGCCACAAAGAATGAAACAGAAGAGCAAACTGATGAAAATCTCACAAAAACACCCTACAACACCTCTGGTTATGTGGGAGAGATGGAAACTACACTGACAGTCTTTGAAATGATAAGCAACTTGCCATTCTTTGAAGGTACTGATCCAGTGAAAAGGATGTACATGCAGAGCTTTCTGAAAGGAACACTACCCATCAAACATGTGCCTAAAGAAGATAATGAAATCAACAGTAGATATGTTGATATTATCGAAGAACATACACAATTTCTCCTTGCTTTGAAACCTCAGGTCAAGAAAGTTTTTGAATTTTTCAATGGTTACTTCACATACATAAAAGGAAACAATACAGGAGAGCTTGAATCATTTAATCAGAAGAAAATCTCAGATCATTTCACCAGATACATAACACTGGTCTGCTCTTCCCCAGCGGAAATATTTAAAGAACGAGCGGACAAACCTGAACTCAGATTAAACGTGGATATTGAAGAGCGTAGGACGTTTCTGGAGGAAAATAATGCAGACACCTTTGCAGGGATACTTGCAAAGTTACATCTAGGGATCCATCAAAAGATAGACAAGACTGCAGAGGAAGTGGAAAAAATCACAGAATGCTACACATTCTTGCGCCATAATTCAGTGCAAAATAGAAAAGTAGAAACCAATTTCATTTTGGTAAATATAATTCTCCACACACTGAAGCCAAGATCTAAACATGTGAAGAGACACAATGAACTCAGTGATATTCTTATGAAAACATTGCAAGATATAGGAATGCAACATCCCTTCCCAGAGCCATACTATCTGGCTTTGTTGTTGCTTTGGCCAAGTTCAAATGCAGAAGAGACTGATATAAGGACATATGTGAACTCACTTGGGAAATCATCTCACAGGCAAATGTCCTATTTGTTGAGAAAGAGCAGCACCATTGCTCACTTCTACTTGGGTCCAAAAAAAGGATTACAAAGACTTGTTACTAAACCCAAACTTGATGAGTGTTTTGCAGGCGTACCACGTGCTGATTTGGCCCAACTTTGGAGGAGTGGAGGCATTTTTAAGGAGCGGGAAATCATTGACCGTCTCTATAGGGTCAATGGAACCGTTGAGCGATCAGAGCTTTATGCCAATTATGGCAAACTCAAAATCCCAGTGCGGCCAGCCTATCTGGGTGGAATAAGAAGTGGTTACAGTACAGAAAAGGTGTCCTTCTTCTTAGGATTTGCCATAGATGGACCACTTGCATACGATATCAAGTATGAATAGGCTATGAGAAGCCTATGTTAGAAACGCCTCAATGATGAACTGTATGTTTTGGTCCATGAGTGTGGTCAATGGGGGAAGTATGGATAAACCACAACCTGACAATCGAAAACAAGACAACCATTTACAAAACACATGCGCTTAATGAAGGCATGGATAATCAATGCTATGAAAGGAAACACAAATCTTCAACCTAGTTTTTTTTTTAACACATTGTCAAGAAACCCGCTGAAAGAAAACATATCAGACTCAGAAGAAGAAGTCCAAGCATATGGTGGAAAGCAGACCAGTGTCTACAGTCTACACACAGGCAGGATGACATCAGAGCGGTGACATGCAACGACTGAGACCTCCAAATGGTTATCAGTTTCATCTGAAAAGGCTGGCCTCAGAGAATGGCGCAGCTACCCTACTCGTTACAGGGATACCACACAGCGAGATCACATCTATCAGAGCTGGACAGACTAGTGCTGTATCAAGACGGGATCGTCATCCCAGCTTCACGGGAAGAAGATGTTCTACAACAGATACACAAAGGTCACATGGGGCTGACAAAGTGCCAGAGAAAGACCCAAGATATCAGTGTGGTTGCTGGGCATCAGTGCCCACATCGCAAGAAAAGTGTCGTCATGCAAGTCTGCACAGAGAATAAACCAACTCAAAAGAGAGAACCACTTGTCACGACACCTTTATCTAAAGGGTCTGTGGCAGAAGATCGCAGCTGACCTGTGTGAGCTCGAGGGCAATAAATACCTTGTAGTGGTGGACTACTTCTCCAGAGACATAGACCAACTACCACAAGCCTCAAAAGCATGGTTGTGAGATGGGGGATTCCTACCAAGCTCGTTAGCGACAACGCTACCCAGTTCGTCTGTACTGAGTTAGACAAGTTCAGAAAGCAGTATGGTTTCATCCATATACCACCTCCAGCCTCTATTACCCGCAGGCTAACGACGCTGCAGAAAAAGCTGTTCAAAAAGCTAAACTAATTCTCAAACAACCAGACCCACACATTGCTTTGATACGAGCCACGCCCATCAGGAACAAGTCCAGCGCGATACTCATGACAGGACGTCAGATACAGACGACCGTCCCCACGCTGAAACACTACAACCAAAGCACATCAGCCACGATAGTGTGAAACATAAGGACCAGAAGTCAGTGAAAAAAAAAAAAAAAAAAAAAAAAAAAAATTGTAAAGTGGTTATCCCACTGGCTATAGGGTGAATGCATCAATTTGTGAGTCGCTCTGGTCTAGAGCGTCTGCTAAATGACGTAAATGTGCCCTTGAGCAAGGCACTTAACCCTAATTGCTCCTGTAAGTCGCTCTGGATAAGAGCGTCTGCTAAATGACTAAAATGTAATGTAAATGTAAGTCAAACAAGCTTACCAGTTATTCTACAACAGGAGGCATTCAGTGCGCCCCTTACCTGAACTATACCCTGGACAGAGTGTAAGAGTCAAGCTGGACGGAGAGAAGGGATGGAAAACAACAGCAGTGGTCATCAGCAAATCTCCAGAGCCGAGATCCGTTATCGTTGTAACTGAACACTGCACCGTCGCTCATAGAAACAGGCGACACCTTCAGGCTGTGCCAGAGTCACCTACTCCAGACAGACAGCACCCGAACAACAAAGGAGTCACCCAGTCTACCAGTGAGGACATCGCACAGGCCCTGCCTGTGAGCCAGCCATCTCCTACACCCTCACTCAGACCACCAACAAGCCAGCCTCACCACAACTGGTGAGAATGACCTCCAAAGGTTGAGAGGTAAAACTAGCCCTGAGGTTTAGAAACACTTGAGAAAACAACAACATTGAGACAAAATACTCTTTAGTTCAGAAAAGAGCAAGAAAATACTTAAGTTCTGAAAAAAGAGACTGAGTTATAGGTACAGCAAATGTTGCAGGGCAGTCTACCCCAATGTCCTAGTTGACACAGTTATGAGAATTCTTCATGTAAAGAGCAAAACAAAACAAGGGGGAAAAATACATGCTACTCTGAAATACTGATTGTTTGTACTGAAACAGTCCACAATCGTGAGTATTTGTATTAGGTAGAGAGGATGTTAGGGACTTTTGATTTCTCTCAGAAAAAGTAGTGATGTCTGATCTATCTGGGATTGATTAGTTAGGCACAGCATCATTAACTGGATGTTACTAATTAGCAGTGTGTGCTAATATGACAAACCTAGCAATGAGTACTAGCAGATAGTAGCTCTGTGGACTGCATTTTAAGTTACCTGCCTTACGAGTTATTAAACCTAACTAAACTGGATTGCTGCATGCCTGGTCTCCATTAGGACACTGGAAGTATAGGCTACTCTTTTATGTTAAACAGCCACCAGACAACCATGAAGGCAGATGTTTTACTCTTCCAATCCTATACTTGGTAGACACTGTGATTTGGTAATACTGTTCAATAATCCTTTCTTGAGAATGATGTGTTTTACTCAGTGTGCATAGGCACCAGCACCAAACAACAAGTCTTACTGGGTTGAGTGACGACTATTGAGGTTACTGCCAGTGTTCAACCTCAGAACGTTTTGACTGTATATACTTTGATTCTCTAGTGTTTGGAGAAACATCCAGTAAGATTGGAATAAGGAGATGAAATACTATATACTGTGTCCTTTCCATCTGTGGAGTTTAGTTCTACCATCCTGGGAGAAACCAGGGAAGTAACTGGTGGAATGAAGAAAGACTGTCAAGACAAGATCATCTAAGTGCTCCTGGATGCAATGTCCAGAAATGCAGGAAAATGCATGTGATGTCTAATAAGTAGATTTGAGAATGGAGAATAATGAAGCATTTTGTGTGTGCATTGTTATTTTTGGCATATTAAGCCGAAAAAATGAATATTAAACTTTTTGTATCAAGGTGACACTTGTATTTATGTTGCAGCAGGACTGTGACTACACATACATCTACTGTAAATATCTCCATTGCCCAGATATTGTACATGTTGTAAAATTGTGGTAATCAATGTAAATAACTGTAGGACCAACTGTACAATTATATGTAATGAGCATGTTGTATTATGAGACAAACTCATACCAACAACAAGTGCAGTTGTACAGGTAGAGAGATATTCTGCAGAAATGTGTTATACGGTATGTGTTATTCTTTAATATTGTTGAGTTACTTGTTTGTTTTGATGGATTATAACACTGTTTCAATCTGAGTAAATTATCCAATACATTCTCGAACTACATGAAATAGGCCTGCTGATATTTCACATGCAATTTCTAAGTATGCATCAATAAAATCCATAAAAGTAAAATGTTTGTCCCATTGCTTATTTTTAACTGTGCAAGTTCTGTATAATATTTATAATTACTTAAGTATTGAGTACAATAATTTCAGAGGTATTCACAAATGTATACATTGATAGATAGTTCTATCACAGAGTTAGTCTGGCTGACACCAGCTCTCGAAGTCCTACTGACTGTGTCCAATATGAAAAACTACAGCCTTTAAGATGATTGGCCACTCTTTAAGTGCTGCAGAATGATCAGCGACACTCCTCTGGGTGTAAACTCTGTGGATTTGGAAACTAGAAGTGCTCCCGAGTAGAATGGAACCCCCTTTTGCTGCGACACAAGGTGCAATATGCATGTCCAAAATGAAAAATGTACTGAACATCGTGCAATACCAATGGGCTAAATAACAATGGGATTTAAATGTGTTTTCTAAAGTTTATAATAATAATATAATATTGTTATTACTATTAAGAGTAGCATTATGTTTTATTTGTATTACTGTTGTTACCATAATCACATTTAGTTATCACTACTTTTAATGCTGCTAACAATATTGTCAATGGTATTATATGATGTGTGCTATTGAAGGGGCAATCAGCAGTTGCTACATCCATTTCTGGACTTGCAGTGTTTTTAGAAAGTATTCAGACCCCTTGACTTTTCCACATTTTGTTACGTTACAGCCTTATTCTAAAATGGATTAAATTGTTATTTTTCTTCATCGATCTACACACAACACCCCATAATGACAAAGCAAAAACAGTTTTCTAAATATTAGTTAATTTATATAAATAAATAAAAAATGGAAATATCACATTTACATAAGTATTCAGACCCTTTACTCAGTAGTTGAAGTACCTTTGGCAGCGATTACAGCATCGAGTCTTCTAGGGTATGACGCTACAAGCTTGGCACACCTGTATTTGGGGAGTTTCTCCCATTCTTCTCTGCAGATCCTCTCAAGCTCTGTCAAGTTGGATGGGGAGCGTTGCTGCACAGCTATTTTCAGGTCTCTCCAGAGATGTTTGATCAGGTTCAAGTCCGGGCTCTGGCTGGGCCACTCAAGGACATTCAGAGACTTGTCCCGAAGCCACTCCTGTGTTGTCTTGACTGTGTGCTTAGGGTCGTTGTCCTGTTGGAAGGTGAACCTTCACCCCCAGTCTGAGGTCCTGAGCGATCTGGAGCAGGTTTTCATCAAAGATCTCTATACATTGCTCCGTTCATCTTTCCCTCGATCCTTACTAGTCTCCCAGTCCCTGCTGCCGTAAAACACCCCCACAGCATGATGCTGCCACCACCATGCTTCACCGTAGGGATGGTGCCAGGTTTCCTCCAGATGTGACACTTGGCATTCAGGCCAAAGAGTTCAATGTTGGTTTCATCTGAGGAGTGGCTTCCGTCTGACCACTCTACCATAAAGGCCTGATTGGTGGAGTGCTGCAGAGATGGTTGTCCTTCTGGAAGGTTCTCCCATCTCCACAGAGGAACTCTAGAGCTCTGTCAGAGTGACCATCGGGTTCTTGGTCATCTCCCTGACCAAGGCCCTTCTCCCCCGATTGCTCAGTTTTGCCAGGCGGCCAGCTCTAGGACGAGTCTTGGTAGTTCCAAACTTCTTCCATTTAAGAATGATGGAGGCCACTTTGTTCTTGAGGACCTTCAATGCTGCAAAATGTTTTTGGTAACCTTCCCTAGATCTGTGCCTCGACACAATCCTGTCTCTGACCTCTACGGACAATTCCTTCGACCTCATGGCTTGGTTTTTGCTCTGACATGCACTGTCAACTGTGGGACTTTATATAGACAGGTGTGTGCCTTTCCAAATCATGTCCAATCAATTGAATTTACCACAGGTGGACTCTAATCAAGTTGTAGAAACATCTCAAGGATGATCAATGGAAACAGGATACACCTGAGCTCAATTTTGAGTCTCATAGTGAAGGGTATGAATACTTATGTAAAAAGTTTTTTTTTTCTTCTTCTTATAAATGTTAAAAAAATATGTTTTCGCTTTGTCATTATGGGGTATTGTGTGTAGATTACTGAGGATTTTATTTAATCCATTTTAGAGTAAGGCTGTAACGTAACAAAATGTGGAAAAAGTCAACGGGTCTGAATACTTTCCGAAGGCACTGTATAAACGAATGATATGTACTCATTGATTCTTGAAGAATATAACTTATAAATGCCTCATGAGCTTTGTTCAACTGTCGCACCCCATCAGAACCCAAAATATCAGCTTGTTTTACTCCAATGTTTGTAAACTTAGAAAATTTAAACAATATAGCATCAAAACATGGTTAAAACTATAATTTTCCATAGTTTTGTCTATGAATTTGAGAGTGGTTACATTTCTCCTGCCCCATCCCTCAGCTTTTTACTGAATCAGGGGCAAGGTGACGCTTTGTTATTGTTTCTATTTCTGAATGCCCCTTTAAGGCTAACTTTTTTTTGTTTTTTGACATTGTTAAACAAAATTATAAGTCTTACAAATTTCTACCATTTGTATAATTTTTTACCATCTTCATTTGCGGGACTTTTATTTTGAAGGGAAATCGCAAGGTCACGGCCTTATTCTTAAAATTGTTTATTTCACAAAAACATACATTTTCAGGGGTAATTCTGAAAAAAAGTTTCTTGCACCTTTCATATATTGCTTGCAGCACTTGAAATATGAATTTAAATAAATATGAATATTAATGGAGGTCCACATTAAAAATAATTTGTTTTATAATTCCATTCATTTTGTTACAAAACTAGTCCTCAACTGTAAATGACAAATAGCGCATTTCAGACAAAACGAGTTCAGTCAAAAAAAAATAAAAAGCAGAATTATTCATGACTAATCATGTTCATGGTATACTCGGTGACATCACATCTCCAGCACTTGAGCAACCAGAATGGTTTCTCTCTAGGTGAATTCTAAGGTTGTCTTTCGCAGCAAACCTCTCCCCACACTGTATGCAGATGAAGGGTCTTTCTCCTGTGTGAACACTCTTGTGTCTGATGAGATTACTTGAGTCCGCAAACCGCTTTCCACACAGTGGGCAAACAAATGGTTTCTCTCCCGTGTGGACGTTCTGATGTTTCTTCAGATAACCAGCTTGGCCGAACCTCTTCCCACACTGAGAGCAGCTGAAGGGTTTCTCTCCTGTGTGAACCCGCTGGTGAGACTGAAGATACTTTGGACAAGTGAAGCTTTTTCTGCAGAAGCCACAAACAAAACGTTTTTCTCGCTTGCCAACCCTGTGTTGAATGTTATGTCCTGCCATGTAGCGTTGGACTATGCCCACCTTTGGCCTTGCTGTGTTCTCGCTCATATTTTCTTCACTGTTAGAGAAAATATTTCCAAAGTTTTCACTAGCCTCGGAAGAGATGCTGTTTTGCGGATGCAAATCATTACTGCTATCATTATCATAATAATTATTATCATTACTGCTAGATTTATATTTTTCTTCATAGGGTCCAGAATCAAACATTGCAGCCTCTGGTTTCACATTGTGAGATTCAACAGCTAACAAAGTTTTTTCAGCTATGGAAGTCTGTTGTTGCTTTGTGTGAGCTGTGACACGAATGGGGCTCATTTCCGCAGCATAAGAGCAAGCTGGATCCTCAGAATCTGTTTCAGTGCTTCTTGGTGTCCACTTGCCTGAGTATGCCTGCCTCTGTACGTGGTGTGCAACGTTCGTATGCTGAAGCTTCTGGAACGTGCTCTCCCTCTCTTGGTCTGCGTTGATGTGAGGATCATAGTCCTCAAAGAGACTGTCGGTCTGAGTGTGCCCAATCACATCCCTTTGGTCTTCATCAGCACCTGATTCAACACTGCCTATAGAGAGGAAATAATTGATTAAATATAACTGAACAGTGAATCATCGTGTATAATTGCCTTTCCTTGACTTTTGGAGAAATCATTCTAAGATGGGGTTGGTATTTTCTAGTATAGATAATTCCATTCCATATGACTGGCATTTGACATTTTATTATAGGCCTCCATTGCACTTACTCTCCCCTTTTATCCTTGGGTCATTCTGTAGGCTTATGGTGCCCTCCAGTCTTTCCTCTTTGATTTGGATGCACCCAGGCTTACGCATCTCCTTCACCATAGACTGTAAGGGAACCAGATTCATCCTTTCTTAAAAGTTTTCAATAATATGACCTCTCATTGATCATTCTGTTAGTATGGTCTGTATTGTTGTATGTATTGAATATGCACTTTTTTATGACCAATGCCAATTTAAAAAAACGTTCAATAACATATCAAGAAGAGCATGTCACTCCAATTATGTAAATAAAGTAATAATGTAATAGCCCTTTGAGAAGAACTCCTAGACCTACCCATACTCAACTGGTGGACTGCGGACCGGATCCGGACCCAGAACGGGGTCAATACGGACTGCGGGTCCCGAAAAAAATAAAATACAAGGTTGGGGCTTTTTTACTCGGTCGGGGCTTCGACCCCTGGTATCATATAAACACACATAAGACATGGGAGAATGCGTTGAATTGCAGGAAATTAGCTTTAAAACATTTTTACAAAATCTCTGCTTCACGCAAAATGTGTAGAGTTGCGGGAAATTTGCTTTAAAAAATGCTACATTTTCTCTCCGTAAACGAGGGGTGTGAACAGTGTATGGTCGCATGGGTTGGGAGGTGTGGGTTTGTTACTACGCCGATAAATTACATTATCCATCTGGACCTTTGCCACCTAGTAAATTTGTGTGACCCGACATTCACAAATAGTGCTTGAGCACTCCTGTCCTAGAATATCATACCAGTACTGCATTTTTAACTAGTGTGCCTGAACCCGTTGTTAACATTTCCCAGATAAGACATATTTTACATTTTGTCACATTATTAGTCATCTACCTTCATAACAGCACAAGACTGTTTTACAGAATCTTCATCTTCTTTGCTTGGATGCTCCCCATCGCTGCAAAGGTTGTTCAACTCTTTCCCCATGGGACTCCCGTTATTTCGATATTCACCAGTCTCTAAATACACAACAAGGAGTTAAAAGCGGACCTGGCACAACATAAATTAGGAGAAACCCCATGAAAACTATAGAATTGACTACGGTGATAGTAAAATAGTCGTGATATCAAAAACGTTGCTTAAATCACTGCAATTGTAAACAGAAGTTACCCAAGTTGAGGACTGGTCTCACTGGGAGATGATTTCTGATGGAGCGCTCGTGAGCTAGGCCTACTGACTTCTTTCCATGTCCATGCGCATTACGCGTCTCCATTATCTGTAACCTCTCCCTCAAAACTTCATTTTCTTTTTGACTTCGAGATATTTCCAAGTGTAAAACGGCATATCCATCGTCCACAAGTTCGCATATTTCTGCCACGGCCGCGTTCATCAAGACCTCCATAATGGAGGTGAGCTGTGTGTGAAAAGGAACAGAAGACGACATTGTGTCCCACAAATGGCCTGACAATCTTGTTATAACCGGTACCCTCAAACTATTTTGTAACCTAATCTACACAGACAAACGGCACTTGCCTATGAGTCAGTTGATGTTGTTAGAGGGTTTATAACGTTACAGTTGTAACAGTGACTCCAACCTACTGTAAACGAAGAAGCCTTCCGTACTACAAAACTGCGTGAGAGTACTACGCCAATTCCCGTTTCCAAATTCTTAGCCAATGGAGTTGCTTGTTGGAAGTCATTGCATATACTGCGCACGCGCCCGTCCAGCTTGGACTACAGACATAAACCACAGATGAAGGGGGTTATTCGAGTCTTTACATAAACCATCAATAGAAATGGAATTAGAAATATAGTACATTTAGTCCCTACAATTGTCGGATATGTCTGAGTGTCATTAGAAATGTGAGAATAGAGGATATAGAGATATAGATACACGGCACAGAGATGAAGACAATTATTTTTATTTTTTAACTTGGACCCAAAAAACGACATATAAACACCTTCATGTGTGTTACAAAAAAGTATTTATTTTAAGTCAATAGATACACATTACAATACTGTTCTATATAATTATGTGGATGGACCTACACATAAAAATAGCATAGGCCTACGTTTGAATCATTTTAACATGTTTTTAAACTCAAAACGTTACAAAATTTGCTAGGGTGTGGCTAAATGTGCAAAACAACACTAAAGTGATAACAAGCATTTACACTCCCCAGGACACATTCCCATGCATTGTCACCTGATTAACTATTGTCTACAAGCATTGATTTACTTGCTTTTGTGATTAGTAGCATGTTTTTTTAATCAATTGTTTGTATTTGATTATACAGCAAATAGGTAGAATAGTCTGCATTAGACAATAACAATTTCATTGTCAGCGCACATCCAACACATTTGTACATAAAGTGAGTGTACAAAACATTAGGAACACCTGCTCTTTCCATGACATAGACCAGGGGTTCCCCAATTAGATTAACAAAAGGGCCAAATTTGGTCAGGCATGCCAAGCCGAGGGCCAACATGATTGTTTTTTTTGGCGACAGTTTTATGTTTTATCAGTTTTCACTTCTATTGTGATTTTATAATTATTAGTAGTGGTGTTAGGAGTCACATAAGAGAAAAATGAAAAATACTAAATTAGTCCAAAACCAACTATTTAATTATGAAATGCCCCTGGAGCATATTCTGTGCAAACAGTCAGCAAACAAAAAGTCCAGCAAACACATTCACACACACACACACACCCCACTCTTCACATAGGAGGAATCATATTTGCAGTGAATGGTAGCCTAGTAACTATAGGTTTGGCATGAGGGCAGACAGAGAGAGGGTGAAGAAGGGAGAGGGATTATCAGATCAGCATTATTTTCTTTGGACTTCATATCCCAGACACACCTCACCTCAAACATGGAACAAGAATCGTCTGCATTTTACAGTACCAATGAACATAGGGTAATATTTACATGTTCATACTTTTGTCGATATAAATTAAGTATGTTTGTCATATTAAACTATATGCAGTAGAAACTATTTTGAGAGGTACTTTTCCCTTTAGGAAAACAGGTTCCTATACACTTCAACAGTATTTAAAATTTAAAAAGTAATCACTGCACTATTGCAATTATATTATATCCATTCTAGTATTCAAATAAAAATGGCAAACGCGTTCATGTCAAATGACGCCACTGTTCTTAACTGGCATTACCCTAGAGATTATTAATAATTTAACCTCACCCATTATTGAAGACATGTTTTACATTTTAGTCATTTAGCAGATGCTCTTATCCAGAGCAATTAGGGTTAAGTGCCTTGCTTAAGGGCACACCGACAGATTTTTCACCTAGTCGGCTCGGGGATTAGAACCAGCGACCTTTCGGTTACTGGCACAACGCTCTTACCCACTACGCTACCTGCCGCCCTCAGGTATGTTTCTATTACATTTCATTAATTCCAGTCCTAGAAAAGGAATTAAGAAAAAACGAAATGTAAAATCATCTTTAGATATTGAACACATTAAATGTGTTCAATATCTAAAGATGATTTTACATTTTGTTTTTTTCTTATCATGGGATTAGAAATGTTCTTATCATGGGATTATTCCTGAATGCATGAAAGTAGGAGGCTATATTTCTTTTAGAGTGATGGTGTTCTTTCATGTCTTGTGTGGACGAAAATGGTGTTTATCGTTTTTGCAGAGCCTTATATTGAGATCGAAATGCAAGCAAATATATTACTAGTCCTCAGTGGAGGCTGCTGAGGGGAGGATGGCTCATAATAATGGCTGCAACGGAGCAAATGGAATGGCATCAAACACATGGAAACCATGTTTTTGATGTCTTTGATACCATTCCACTGATACCGTTCCAGCCATTACCACGATCCCGTCCTCCCCAATTAAGGTGCCACCAACCTCCTGGGTTTATGAAATTTGGACTCCCCATGGGAACGAGGGATTTTCTCGGACCCTCCTAGTCTACAGACACGCCCATCTGCTGCAGTTGAGCGTCCATAGCAACAACTCCATGGGGGGGAAGTGACTGACAGGAGTTTTGAAATAATTCCAGTGACACTCAAGTTTTTCAATGAGGTTTTAGCTAGCTACTTTGTTCTCTCATGGAGGCTAATATTTATAACAACGGTATGCAGAACAAAGTTGCTTGGAAGTGGCGAGTTATCGACTACATGCGAACATGCTAACGTTAATTGGGCAATTTTTGGCTAACGTTAGTTAGCGCGCTACTATTGTTTACATGTTGTAGCTACCTAGCTAGCTATCTAACGTTAGTTGATTATGTCTGCATCCATAAAATCAAGCCCGTCACCTCCTGTCTTACCGAAACCAGAGGGCCGGAGGATAAAGTCAAGTCATTCTCTTGTATCACCTGTGGAAGATCATGACAGAGGTAAGCTATGGACAGACAGGTGTATGCGTGGTGTGTCTATCTAGCTAGCTAGCTACTAGCTACACGGTCCGTGCTATCCGGGATCCTTGGGACAATCCTACCCCATTGAAGTTGACATTTAAAATGGTTAAGGTAAGGGTTAAGGTTAGGTTTAGGGTAGGGACGTCCCAAGGACTCGGATAGCACTGACCCTAGTTACACACAGCTTGCAACAGTAGCTGTCATAACATGTACTCTATCTCTATCATGTACCTATGAATTCCAATATTTCAGCTTTCAGACATTTTCCCTTACAATACACTACTTTGCAGAACACCTTTATAAATACATTGATTCAATTGAGCATTATTTTGTATGTGTGTGTCCTGTCCTCAGCCCTTAAAGAACTCCCTGAGCTGAAAGAGAAACAGGTGTCAGTGACAGATCGATCAAAGATGCAGCTTGTCCCGATGCAGAATGACTTGATCCCAGATGAGCTCCTGGCCACCCTCACCTCAACCATCTGTCCCCATGATAGGCTGGGACTCCCAAAGCTAACCAAGACCCCCAAAGACTTCAAGGTATGGTCTAGCTCTGGTCCAGGGCTTTAGTGTGTTTTGGTCCAGCATAGATGTCAAATGCCAGAGTCAAGTCTAACCAGACTACTGCCACATTCTCAATGCGTGGTCCCAGGAAGTCACTACAGTGTCCCTACATTGTTTGTAAGTACATTGTTTTTTGTTTGTCTATGGTTGTTTATTGTTGGTTTAACTCCCTCCCTTAGGTCCATGGAATACGACACACGGACGCGGTTTGGCATCACCCAGTCGGACGCAAGAAATACAAATACTTTCTCGACCAGCCGACATCATTGACTGGAGCGGGCCGGTTTGACCAATAAGAATCCTTGTTGGGAATTTGCAATGCAAAAGCCATGGGGGGGATGCCATATCGGTTTACCTACATGTTTATAGAAAAATACATTGCTAATTTTCTGTCTGTGATTGTTTTGTGTTGTGTACTGTGTGTTGGCTCAGGGACATCTCCTTTTTGTGTGATTCCATGGCCTCTCAGAGGGAGAGGATTCCACTGCCACCCATGGCTGACAGGGGCACCACCCACACACAGGGCATTCAAAAGGCAAGCAGAGCCCGAGCATACATATAAAAACACAAATGGGCGCTTACGTTTTGCAAAGTCCGGTGCCCCAGATTTGCGGAGGCACATTTTAGACTATTCCATTGGTCCTAAAGTGAAATCTCCACGCACCTGGGGCACTGGGCGACGCAAACGAGTGCACCCAAATGCCATTGCCTTTAAATGTGTGGCCATCGTCAATTAATTGTGCTGATTCCAGACACGGTCATTACCAGACACAGTCTGTGCTGTGTGGTTTAACATGCCCTTGTGTTGTTCTCCCCAGGACATGAGCCTTATTGAGAGCCTCATCCCAGAGGAATATCACATTGTGAAAAACAAAGGGGTGCAAGGACTGGAGTGCTATGATGAGTGAGTGAAGAGGATTCTACTGTGTTTATTTATTTTTGTCTTTTAGCAGACGCTCTTATCCAGAGCGACTTACAGGAGCAATTATGGTTAAGTGCCTTGCTCAAGGGCACATCGACAGATTTTTCACCTAGTCGGCTCGGGGATTAGAACCATCGACCTTTCGGTTACTGGCACAACGCTCTTAACCACTAAGCTACCTGCCGCCCCATGTGTTGTATTTCCCCCTTCCGCTTAATGATAATGTACTCACCTTCTGACTTCTATTCCTCTCTCCCATTTTAGTAAATTCACAGTACTGCTGGAGGACAATGAAAGGATGCTCAAAGTCTTTCCATCAATGTGAGTGAAAGAGTGATCATGTCAACATGCAGTGTTCTGAATGACTATGGATCATGATGGGTGTAGCAACATGGCAAACTTCCATAGCAGTACTCAGAGTTACAGGAAGTGCAGGCTTTTGTTCTAGGCCAGCACTAACACCTAATTCAGCTGATCAGGTTCTTGATCTGTACACACACTGTAGCTCTCATAACCAGGGTTGGTGACCACTGTTATGTGTGTGTTTGTGTGTGTGTGTGTGTTTGTGTGTGTATGTCACAGGAGGCCCAGCGGGCGGCTGGAGGCTGTGCAGCTGATGAAGGTGATGGATGAGATGTTGGACAGAGCAGGGGTCAACCAGGAGGACAGAGGCCTGACTGGACTCTCACAGGTAAACCAGGATACAGAGTCAATCCCAAATAGCACCCTATTCCCGAGGTATATAAATAATGCACTAAATAGGGAATAAGGTGCCATTTGGGACGCAAGCAGTATTCTGTTTATTCTATAGCTTTCTGTCGCTGACATTTGATCACATTTGTTGTGTCATGTTTATGACAAGATTATGACACTGTAATGACGTACAGTTCAAATCAAGTGCGACCGAATTGGCATAAGTAACATATGTACGTTTCCTGAAGTGACATAATGTAGTTAACTGAACTGGATTGGACAGGACATTACCTTTGACTTAATTGAACCATTGTAGCTAATTTTGTTCTCTGTGCCTCTCCACTAAATCTGTTTGATTAAATCGTTTGCATTCCAAATGGCACCCTATTCCCTAGAGTGCACTACTTTTGAGCAGAGCCCTATGGGTCCCGGGTCAAAAGTAGTGCTCTATAGTGAATAGGGTGCCATTTGAGAATAGGGTGCCATTACCTCAATTACCTGGACTAACCTGTGCCCCCGCACATTGACTCTGTACCGGTACCCCCTGTATATAGCCTCGCTACTGTTATTTTACTGCTGCTCTTTAATTATTTTTAATTTTTTACTTATCTATTTTTTACTGAACACTTATTTTTCTTAAAACTGCATTGTTGGTTAAGGGCTTGTAAGTAAGCATTTCACTGTAAGGTCTACACCTGTTGTATTCGGCGCATGTGACAAATACAATTTGATTTGATCAAATTTTTTGACACCCCTTCCCAGATGCAAGGCCTTCTAGAGCTGGTGCGTGTGGAACAGAACATCTACAACATAGTGTTCCATGAGCTGATCCGACAGGTCAGTGTGGAATGTGCTGAGAGAGGACAGCTCCTGGCTAAGCTCAGGTAAGTACGGCGGGGGGGGTCCATGAACTTGTCCAATAAAAAATGCTTGTTTTCTGTTGCAAACTCTTTGCTACAGTGTGCCGTGTGCCCTTATCAATACGATCCAGGATCCAGTATATACACTGAGTGTACAAAACATTAAGAACACCTGCTCTTTCCATTACATAAACTGACCAGACCAGGTGAATCCAGGTGAAAGCTATGATCCCTTATTGATGTCACCTGTTAAATCCACTTCAATCAGTGTAGATGAAGGGGAGGAGACAGGTTAAAGAAGGATTTTTAAGCATTGAGACAATTGAGACATGGATTGTGTATGTGTGCTATTCAGAGGGTGAATGGGCAAGACAAAATATTTAAGTGCCTTTGAACGGGGTACCGTAGTAGGTGCCAGGCGCACCGTTTTTTGTCAAGAACTGCAACACTGCTGGGTTTTTCACACTCAACAGTTTCCAGTGTGTATCAAGAATGGTCCACGATCCAAAGGACACCCAGCCAACTTGACACAACTTTGGGAAGCATTGGAGTCCACATGGGCCAGCGTCCCTTTGCAACTCAATATTAGGAAGGGGTTCCTAATGTTTGGTATACTCAATGTAGGTCTAACCATGTCCCTCCCTGTGCTCTCCTGTGGTCCAGACAGAGGTATGTGGCTCTGTTGGACCGTATCCCCAGGCAGCTGAAGGGTTTCCACACAGAGACACTGGCCCAGAGAGCTCTGGACCGCAGGCTCACAGAGGAGATCATCTGCTTCAGGAGCGCCATCACCAAGCTCAACACGTGAGCCTGGGACTGTGTGTGTTTGTGTGTGTGTTGGGGGGGGGGGGGGTTGGTTGTGAGTGGGTGTGTGTCTGTTATATGAGTGTCATCATTTACAGAATCTATATTGATATGTACAATAGATAACGTGTATACGATTTTTTCCCTGAGCTATGTATATGATTTTTGTCTGTGTATTCTTGTGTGTGTGCACTTCAGAGAGCTGTGTAAGATGAGGGAGCATGACGGGTATGTGTCCACGCAGGCTGAGAGAGCCCAGGAGGAGCTGGCCAAGGCTCTGGAACAATCACAGAAGAACTCTGAGTAAGTGACTGATTGGCCATCATCATACCTACTGCTGCTGTCCATACTGTACACAGGCCCTCTTCACTAACTTTCATGTTTTCAGCTTTGCTTGTTGTCTTCTATCCCCTATCTAAATTGTGCAAACTTTGCAAAGACGAAATCTCTGAAAATAATCTGGGATACATAATATGTACACACATGGCTAAATATAAAAAAGTAGGAACAACTCTTATGTACTGTAAACTGTACTTGGATGTATGACCTATGACTATGTACCTGTATCTTCAGTATTGTGGGAGAGTACCATGACCTGTACGAGATGCAGAGGAGGAGACTGGAGGGACAGGTGGCCAGACTGACGGACGAGAGGGACCTGTGGAGCAGAGTCACCTATAACCTGGCCCTCAAGGTCGGTCTCTGTCTGTCTGTCCGCCCGTCCGTTCCTCTATCCTTCTGTCTTTGTTCTTCTGTCTGTCTGTCTCTGTCAGTCTGTCTGCCCGTCCCTTCTTACCACCTATAACCTGGCCCTCAAGGTCTGTCTCTGTCTGTCTGTCTGTCCGTCTGTCTTGTCTGTCGGCCTGCTGTCCTTCTGTCAGTATTTCTGTCTGTCTTTCTTTCCATCTAGCTTGTCTGTCTGTCCGTCCGTCAGTCCTTGTCAGCCACATGTTGAAATACAATGGAATGCATAGCTAGGTTAGGACATAGATCTCAAAGTGAAGGAAGTGAAGGGGAGAAGAGACGGGAGCAGACTCCTCTCGTCCTGATCCTAGTGTTAACTGGGGTTTATTCTTTTGGCACCAAACGGAAGAAACAGGGAGGAGCTACCAGGACATTTTAGTTTTCCGTTGCAAAATGTTTCGCTACTAAGTACCTTAATGAATACAACCCTATATATATGTCTCTGAGTTGTTGATATTCATTTGTTTCCTCCCAGGTGATCAAGTTAAACAACCTCCAGCTGGCCAGCAGGCTTCACGTTAGTGAGCAGACCTGGACCAAGACTGCCGAGCACTTTACAGTCTTCCTGACCTCCAAGGTAAACTCCACACTGTCAAGGCCCCTCACAGGGATGGGAATTCCTGCTTTTCTGAAATGATCTATTATTGATACATTATTTAACAAATCATTCAAATCATGCACCCCCAATATCCAATTTTTCCTGATTTTCTATGTTGTCATGGTCACATCCCTCATATACTGCCAAATTGACTGAATTTGAATAAAATTCACTCCATTCAACTTCATACTGATGCAAATAATAATGAAACATAAACCTTGTTTCCCGTAGGACACAGAAGACCTGAACCATATCATGCAGCTGACAGAGCAGTGGAAGGAGCAGCTGACGTCCTTCGTGCAGAGTCTGAGAGAGGCTGAGCACGGCCAGTGTGAGGGGATAAGAAGCATACAGGCTGACATCGTCAAATGGCACACGTCCATTGGCACCAACATCAGGTAGCGTAGACATGCCCATTGGCACCTACTCATAGAAATGACTGTCAGCCTGTCACGAGGTCCTCTGTAGCTCAGTTGGTAGAGCACAGCGCTTGTAACGCCAAGGTAGTGGGTTCGATCCCTGGGACCACCCATACACAAAAATGTATGCACGCATGACTGTAAGTCGCTTTGGATAAAAGCGTCTGCTAAATGGCATATTAATATTATTATTAACGAGAGAGCAGTTGTCATTGTTTTGTCTTCATATCATATCATGTTGTTTTGTCTTCATGTATCACTGTGTTTGTTTTGTAGAAGCCCGGATCCAAAATTTGAGAAAGTTTCCGAAGAACAGCTTTATTCAGATTTAAAACAGTGGTCAAATGTAAGATTTTTTTATTCTGTTCCTGTTTTAATGTTGAGGTTTTTAACGGTTTTATATGTGTATCACCGGATATATTTTAGTACTGGACTGGAACAAAACCCTGCACACTCTGTGAGTCCCAGGACCAGGATTGAAGAATACTGCTCCACTGTATGTCACCAGTGTAGCACCACTATAATACCCTTTACATATTACTGAGACAAACTGTGCTGAGACAAGCTTAGCTGTACTGAGCTGGCCTGGTTGCCCATCCACCAAAGTTGCTGCTGTTGTGAGTCATGTATAACTGACCATCCCACTAACATCTCCATCCTCTCCCCCTTCCCATCCTCCAGGTGTTGACCATTCAGTGTGAGCGCTACGGGGGCGAGGACCTCCTCTCCTGCCAGGAGACCCTCAACATGCTGGGCCAGCTGCAGGAGGCCTGGGAGGAGGTGGGCCGCCGGCTCTTCAGGAGACACCCGGCCCCAGACGGAGAGCCCCCCAGGGGCCAGGAGGCTATGAGGGAGCTGTGCCTGGCCGTGTCAGAGCTCCACAAGCAGCTGGGAACGCGCATCAACGGCGAGAGCGGTGAGCATAGAAATGGAATGACCCATCGTCACAGAAAAGTTGATTTGAGTAGGATGCATGTTCTATAGATTATATTTATATAGCAGTGAGCGAGACGGACGCAGTCTGGAGGGAATATACAGCAGAACACAGGAAACTGTAGCACGAGGGTAGAATTATGGAGAGCTACGTACTGGGTGTGCAGGGTTTTTCTTCATCCCATCACGAACCCCCCTCATTCAACTAATTTTGGTCCATACTGAAGAACCCTGATAATCTCATAAATACCTGAATGTATCCCTTACCAACTGGTCTGTGTGGCCCTTTCAGGAATCCACAAGCAACTGATGTGTCTGGTCGGGGTGATGGAATTCTGGGCCACCCGATTGAAGGCTCTGGTTGGCCGCACCGAGAGGCTCCCCCACTGTGATTGGCTGAAGCTGGAGAAGGCCCTGGGTAGCTGGATGTTGCTGGCGGAGGAGGCCTTGCAGCACGCCCACAGCACCCAGCCTGAGAATGAGAGGGTCAAGCACAAACCGCACGTCCAGTGAGTTCTCCTGGCCCCTCTTTGTACTGTCTATATGTTTGTCCCAATGGCACAATATTCACTATATAGTACACTACTTTTGACCAGAGCCCGTTTGTGGCGATTTAAAAAAAAATTCAAACAATTTGTGTCTATTCCAGGATTGAGATTGATGATGTCTTCAACACTCTCCGTGAGTTCATCTTGACCCAAGCCAACTTCTTTGACTGTGAGAACCGCAGGCTATGTGAGGAGGTACTGGAGACGGGCATAGCTGTCCCTGGATAGCAATTCCTTTACCTGCTATTGGAATGTGTGTACGTTTGATTTTATATATGCATCCCAAATGGCACCCTATTCCCTTTATAGTGCACTACTTTTGACCAGGGACCTTCTGGGAAGATATTGGATGTGTCCCAAATGGCACCATATTCCCTATATAGTGCACTATCAAGGGAATAGGTTCACTATAAAGGGAATAGTGTACCATTTGAGAAATCTACCCCTCCAGCCCCTACATAATGTCTATACCCTGTGTTTCCAGGTGAACTCCATCCACACGGCTCTGACTCGCTGGATGGTGGACCTGCTCCTCCAGATGGTCCCAGACCACTGTGACGACCAGGAGCAAGACGCCCTGCCGGGGCTCAACAGTACCGCCATCATGGAGGTCTCCCTGGAGCAACTAGAGGAAGATGCCAAGAACCTCTCAAAGAAACTGGACTTCTTCTCCAAATATATCACCCGGTAAATATGCTATTTAGCAGCTTTTATCCGACTTACAGTAGTGCATGCATACATTTTCGTGTGGGTGGCCCCTGCGGGAATCGAACCCACAATCCTGACATTGCAAGCGCCATGCTCTACCAACTGAGCCACACTGGATCGTAAAGTGAGTGAACCTAGCGATGAGTGGATCGTGGGGATTTCGGCTGTCAGAAGATGGTTCACACTAACTCAGAGCTTTGTTTTTCTCTCTCTGTGCAGCTCTTGCCGGGCCATTGTGGAGGAAGAGATTCAGAGGAACATGGCTCAGGATGACACAGAGAATGAGCTTTCTGAGCTCAACAAACTGCAGGTACTCACTGAGCAACACAAAGGCTTGCTATGTAGAGCATGCTAACATTCTCAATATTTTGCACTCAAGGATGTGAATGCTAAGTTGTGTGTGTTTGTGTGTGTGCATGCATGCGCGTATGCGTTCGTGTGTGTGTGTGTATGCGTTCACGCTGCTCAGAGGGAATGTGGCGAGTGGATGGAGTCCTGTCAGATCCTGCTGTCCGACAAGAAGGGCAGTCCCGTGGAGCTGCGTGTTACACTGAATTTGGTCCCCCGTTCTGTCACGGAACTCCTTCCCTCTGCGATGCCCAGCATGGAATCTCTAGTGAGCCTGTCATAACCCTTTACTATGGTCCCTCCCTACCTTGCAGTTAGCCACCTGATGTGTGAATACTAGTTTTGATTTACATTTGATTGAGATGTAAACTAACGTAAATGCAATTAATATATATCATTGTAGGTTAAATGTATGGATGTAGGTAAAAAGTTTGATGGGGGACAAAAATTCACAAATTCCTTCAAATTGATGACTTCTTTCAAAGCCAATCAGTTTTCTGTGTTCATTTGGCATCATCAGTAGGAGAAATATAGCCTAAAATGTTGTTGTTGAAATGACGTGGAAACAACGTTGATTCAACTAGCTTGATGTCCGGTTGGGATGTAATTTTTAACATGTTTAAAAAGTCAAGTTCTTTGTTTATGTGATATATAATGACGTCACCTACATTCCTTAGATGAACCGACCTGCAGTGGTTCCACTAGAGGCTTTGGATGAGGAAGAGGAACAGAACAAGAAGACTCCAATGGAATTCATTGAGGTCATACACATAGTGAGCTAACACCTACAGTATCTACAACAAAAAAGACTACTAAAACACATTTTGAAACAAAACTGGCCATGTCCTATTCCAGTACCTGAGAGGTGTTCAAAAAAGAATTTGAATCCAAATCAATTAAATGACTTGACTCGGTACCGGTACCCCCTGTATATAGCCTCGTTATTGTTATTTTGTTGTGTTACTTTAAATTTTTTACTTTAGTTTATTTAGTAAATATTTTCTTAACTCTATTTCTTGAACTGCATTGTTGGTTAAGGGCTTGTAATTAAGCATTTGTTGTATTCGGCGCATGTGACAAATACATTTTGATTTGATTTGACTTGCTAGTGACTTGTTTTTTTACAGCTCCGGGGTGAGATTTCCCCCTAGGTGCAGATCTAGAATGAGCTTTACCATTAATGGGGAAATGCTAAACTGACCCAAGTTCTATTAGCAACTTCACCCTTCACATATTTTCACTCACGATTAATATTGTCCAGAGAACCAGAGGTAAGTTGTGTCTCAACGACTACAGTTTTGGAATTTCTCTGCAATACCTATTTTTGACCTGCAGGTGGAGGCAGAGGATCCAGAAGAGGCTGGCTCTATTATGAAGCTGATAGGCCATGATGGTAACATCATTGAGCAAACCCTGGGGGAGGATACTATTCAGCTAGATGGGGTCAGTACATGATGCTATGTGTCTTACCAGTATATAATTAATTATGAAAACATTGTTGTAGAAAGACCGACATTCAGATCCAATGTCCAAATCTTCTTTGTTTGGCCTCCGGCAGACTGAAGTCATGGTTGCCCGTCCATACACACCTAACGGTCAGAGAGCCTTTGATGCCCTGGCCACAGTAGGAGTTCTTCAGCACGAGTTACTGTAAGTTATTTGTCATTAATGAGCGGCCACACTCTTTCTATCTTTTGTCCTACAAGGGCCATCTTGCCTCTGTGCTTTTTTGATTTTGTGTGTCTGCCTGTCTGTGTCTGTCTGTCTGCCTGTCAGTGGGGTTGAGGCCCGGGTCCATCGAGCAGAGGAGCGGGCCCTAAAGGCAGAGGAGGCCCTCCAGGCTGCGCTGGAGAAGATCCAAGATCTGGAGAGACAGCTACAGGGCAGGACTAGTCTGGAGGCTAAAGGTAGGTCAACACCGTAACACACCTCTGTGATAGGTCAACACCGTAACACACCTCTGTGACAGGTCAACACTGTTGGATTTGGAACACTCATCCATACAATTTGCATTGCAGTGAGCAAGCAGTCTGTGGCAGCATCTCCCAAGTCAAAGGTGTCCAGCCCTGAACCCAAACCAGTGAGTCAGAAACCTGAGCCTAGCCTCAAACAAACCAAGCCCAAGAAACGCTGAACCCTGAAAACAGTACTGTAGCTTCAGAGGTAATGTGAAACTCGGCTGCTCTGAGGATCCAACAACTTTGTATTTGACAAATGAATAAACGCAACGTGAAGTCTAAGTATTGTATGTCTCGGCGTTCAACAGTATTTAATCAGTTGCCTTTTTTTTGGTTGTTCTGTAATTTGCATGCTATTTGTTAAGCAATCATGTCCTTACAGAAGGCTTATGGTGTGAAATATGCTTCCCTCTAGTCATGTTCATACTATATGGTTCCTTTTCAAAAATAACATTATTATCCTATCATTTATTTATTATGGACCCTGTTTACCCTCGTATTACACTGTCTGATTTAGCTGGTTTGCAGTGTGTCATCAGTATGTTGTATAAATCATACAATAAAAACAAATCTTTATACTGATTTATATTTATTTACAGAGAATCCCCCCCCCCCAAAAAAAAAAAACGAACAATCAGTTAGATTTTCAAATTTCTTCAATCTGATATGAAGGGTGCATCTCAATAATCTTAAGTGGTGTCCTCTCCTTCCCTTCATCAGCACTGATATGAAAGAACTAGTGGCAAAATCAGGTTCCCTGGTACCCACCACGCAGCTCTTGCACCCAAATTAAGTCTCTTCCCTTTGTCTCTGTCTACTACATCATGGGCCAGTCTGTCTTTCTCTTTGGGCTCTCCTGTCGGAATGGGATTGGCTGGAGCGGTTAAGGGTGAGAGGTCAGGGGGCAGGGTGAGGACCAGCGCTCAGTGCGGAGCGTGTGTAGCAGCTGGAGGTGGATGGTGGCGGCGGCAGAACCAGAGGGAGTCCCGGGAAGACTTCAGAGCCTCACAGGCTGCCTTCTCTCCCTCTGCTGCAATCACCTACAGGACAGGAAGGAGGGTAGCCTAGGGTCAGAGGTCAAGGCCTGCAAGTTGGCAATGCTTATTGTTTGGCTTTTTATGTTTATCATTCCTCCCTTCTGACATGCGTTGATGCCTGGACACACACACACAAACAACTCTTTGACTACGTACTTTGATTTGGGCTTGTCTCAGCAGCTAGACTATGCTTCAGCTCAATGGGGAGACAAAGGTCCTCTCTGAAATGAACATGGTGTGGCGGTGGGGGGGCAGGCTGGCCAACAATTGATGAGAGTGAAGTAACACAAGCATAGACCAAAATGGACCTTTCTCCAGGGAAACGACCCAGGACTTTTATTAATGGAAAGAAACAGAACGAGCCACAGCGCTGGGTAACAATAAAACCAAAACCTAGCTCGTCTTTGAGCCTTTCTACACGGGTCTTCTGGTCCCTCTCTGCTACCGTACACCTTAGCTGTTTACCTGGCATAGCCAAAACAAAAGGAAACAGAAATCCAACAGGCTTGTCCTTACTGGGTTCAGGTCTACGGACAATTAACGTCCAGTAGGTTCCTGTCCAGTTGGGTTCGATATCCCTCCCAGCGTTGGAAGGCTCTGCATGTCAGCTCTTGCTGCTCCAGACCAAACACAGATCTGGCCAAAGCCAGGAAAAAAATAATAAACACCACCCAACCTCCAAGCTAATTATATTCAGGTGTGTGTAATTAGGCTCTTACCCTTCCTGGCCATCCTCTCTGCTGGCCAGCAGATGGAGCCAATGAGCAGGAATATACCGGCCTTCACACACCCACCCTCTCAGTCCATCACAATGGTGAAAGGCGCACACACAAGTCAGCAGTGGACACATACGTTTTTGGCAATTCCAACATGTACCTGTTCCATTCACATAATTTTTTACGACACCAGCCTTTGAAAATGAAATGACTTGTTGCGTTGTTTTGTTCAGGAAATGTTACAAATGCCTGTATGTAATCTGTCAATGATGACAGTCTTACATTTCTGCTCTCTCCACCTTGATCCCACATTGGCAAGCTGCAGAATGAATCGATAGTCACATGTAGATTGCTATAAAAGGGCAGCATGATCCACTCTAGTGTTGAGAATATATACAGTGCATTCGGAAAGTAGTCAGATCCCTTGACTTTTTCCACATTTTGTTACGTTACAGCCTAATTCTAAAATATATATATTTTTATTTTCTCATCAATCTACACACACTACCTCATGATGACAAAGCAAAAACAGGTTTTTAGAAATGTTTGCAAATGTATAAAAAACGGAAATATCACATTTACATAAGTATTCAGACCCTTTACTCAGGATGGGGAGCGTTGCTGCACAGCTATTTTCAGGTCTCTACAAAGATGTTCGATCGGGTTCTGGCTGGGCCACTCAAGGACATTCAGAGACTCCTGCATTGTCTTGGCTGTGTGCTTAGGGTCGTTGTCCTGTTGGAAGGTGAACCTTCACCCCAGTCTGAGGTCTGAGCGCTCTGGAACAGGTTTTCATCAAGGATCTCTCTGTACTTTGCTCCGTTCATCTTTCCCTCAATCTTGACTAGTCTCCCTGTCCCTGCCACTGAAAAACATCCCCACAGCATGATGCTGCCACCACCATGCTTCACCGTAGGGATGGTGCCAGGTTTCCTCCAGATGTGAGACTTGGCATTCAGGCCAAAGAGTTCAATCTTGGTTTCATCAGTGCAGAATATCTTGTTTCTCATGGTCTGACAGTCTTTAGGTGCCTTTTGGCAAACTCCAAGCGGGCTGTCATGTGCCTTTTACTGAAGAGTGGCTTCTGTCTGGCCACTCTATCATAAAGGCCTGATTGGTGGAGTGCTGCAGAGATGGTTGTCCTTCTGGAAGGTTCTCCCATCTCCACAGAGGAACTCTAGAGCTCTGTCAGAGTGACCATTGGGTTCTTGGTCACCTCCCTGACCAAGGCCCTTCACCCCCGATTGCTCAGTTTGCCCGGGCGGCCAGCTCTAGGAAGAGTCTTGGTGGTTCCAAACTTCTTCCATTTAAGAATGATGGAGGCCACTGTGTTCTTGGGGACCTTCAATGCTGCAGAAATGTTTGGGTACCCTTCCCCAGATCTGTGCCTCGACACAATCCTGTCTCGGAGCTCTATGGACAATTCCTTCGACCTCATGGCTTGGTTTTGCTATGACATGCACTGTCAACTGTGGGACCTTATATAGACCGGTGTGTGTCTTTCCAAATCATGTCCAATCAATTGAATTTACCACAGGTGGACTCCAATCAAGTTGTAGAAACATCTCAAGGATGATCAATGGAAACAGGATGGACCTGAGCACAATTTAGAGTCACATAGCAAAGGGTCTGAATACTTATGTAAATAAGATATTTCTGTTTTTTTATTTTTAATACATTTGCAAAAAAATCAGACCAATTGGATAGTCCAAACTGTAAACCCCACCTATCTGGCACTCTAGATAAGTTAGACTGAGCAAACAGTATTTGAACGATAGGTTAGGTACCTGGATCTCTTGGGCGATCCTCTTCCTGTCCAGAAGGATGTGGGTGAAGTTGTGGTGGGCTAGAATGGGGTGGCAAGTAGCTTAGCGGTTAAGAGCGTCGGGCCATTAACCGTAGGTCGCTGGTTCGAATCCTCGAGCCGACTAGGTGAAGAAAAAAAAATGGTGTGCCACCTGCAGCACGGCACTCACACTTGACAGGGCAGTGCTGCATAGAGCCACGTTCTCCATTCCGTAATAACACTCCGTGCTCACCAGATCCTTGGTTACCACCTGGGCACAGAAGTAAAAGAATCATGCTCAGAGGAAATTGTATTTGAATATTTGATGTAGATTGTGTTTCTCTGTAGGCTGTCAGAGGAGTTACCGTACTGTGGGACCTTGGGTCTTTTCTGGAAAACATGGAGGAGTGGGAGGTAGAAAAGTAGGCCTTGGTCCTGGAAGCACATACAGTATAGAGATTGGAGAGATACTGACATACTGTGTAGTGTCCAGGATAATGAACATATGGAGGTTGTTCACAAGACTTATGTTGTGGCCTTTTCAAATCCATTTCAAACCCATTTGAGAAATTCACAGAGATTGGTTTGATGCATGTCTCATCTAGCCTAAGACAATTCTTCCCATGTTTGAAAAACATTTGTCATAACGTTTTCCTGTGTCATACCACTTTACGAGTAACCCCCTAGGTGTGTCCCTAAGTCAATCCAATTATTCGTAGAAACTATCAATGACTCGTTCAATGAGTCATCGTATAATATTATAATAACAAGTCCCCTGGGTCTCCCTCGCAGTAAGTGACCCAATCTGAAGCGCACAGCTCTCTCATGCTCCCTCACAACCTGTCAATCAACACAGTGGCTAGCTGTCCATCAATACTTTGCCTTATCAGAATGACACACAGAGAAAGACAGCCCACAGTGTTTGTCAGTGAAATATACAAATAACCAAACACATTCTCACTCCAAACTTTATATTATTCTTAAAAAAGAAATGGTGTTCTGAATCGTTGTCAATGTAGTCATTCACAAAATATTATATTTCAATGATGCGCTTACATAATACTATAAGGAAATCTATTATTTGACGAGTGCTGTTCAACTCAATGTGGAAAATAGTAAAACCCAGAAACATTTTAAGCTGAACTATTGCCTGAAACATTTTTACCCAGTCAACGTCAAGGTTTTATACTATTATGTACAGTACATCCTGTATGTTATACGTTGTGTCATCTGTTTACAGTCAGGGAGGTGGAAAAAGCTTACCTTCACACAGAACCAGTTGTAGATGATGACATGAGTAGCCACTCACACACTCCAAGACTCCTCGACTTCACACCTGGTGGAGACAAATACCAACATTCAGACTTACAGTACATTGAATTACTGCACAGTACATTCAGACTTACTGTACAGTACATTCAGACTTACTGTACAGTGCATTCAGACTTACTGCACAGTGCATTCAGTTTTACAGTACATTGACTTACTGCACAGTACATTCAGACTTAGAGTACATTTACTTACTGCACAGTACATTCAGACTTGTGCACAGTGCATTCAGACTTACTGCACAGTGTATTCAGACTTACTGCACAGTGTATTCAGACTTACTGCACAGTGCATTCAGACTTACTGCA